AATTGTGTCCATTGGTTTTAAAAACTTATGACGGTGTTACATCAGGAAAAGATGTTGCAAAATGGTTAAAAAATGAGTTGGATATAGCAAATATTCCACATATCAAAGTTGTTGGTGAAACAACCGATGGAAATGCTACCGAAATTGGAGTTGAATCTGGAGTGATCAAAGAATATAATGATTCGGTGAAAGATGTTAAAACAAACCATTTTGATGTTATAGAACAGCCTGTCCATGGTATTTGGTGTTATTTTCACAGGTGTCATCTATGTGGAGAAGATCTTTCTAGTGAATCCGATGCAGGGCCAATTGTCATTTTTATCAAATGGTTTTGTTCAACGAAAAGACTTGACAACTTTTATAAAACAAAAAAGATGTTAAATGTTACAATTGACACTTTTGCAAAAACACGTTTTTGTATATTTGTAGAAATATTAATACTGTATTGGGACATTATGAAGACATTGTGTCATATGTTTCAATACCCAGAGTTAAAACAGAACTTGAGAGTGAATTTAAAAACAAAAAAGTTGGTACATATAGCAAAACAATAACACTTAATACAACTTCTATAAATTATCAACACCATCCTTTTTAATATTTATTTTTTTGTTGAAATTATACTTATTCAATGAATACTTTATTATATAATACTTCTTCAATCTAGATACTTATTATAATCAACCTATTTCACCACTTTTAACTGTATTATAAATATAAAGAATACACTTAAAGAAAAACTTTAACACTTCAATGTTGATTATTTGATAAATTGTTTATTAATATTTCAGTTCTAAAATTGATTGTTTTATTAAATTCCTAATGCGGACTACTTTGTATTAACCACTTTATCATTTAAATATCATCTTATGTTTTATTTTTGTTCTTACATTTAAAATAGCTGGATCAACACTCACAAAGTTTGTGTTCAACTTAATTACACAAAAAATAATATGATTCATTTTTGTTCGATATATATTATATTTTAATTAATATTTAATTAAAGAATAATTTATAAACATATAACTTCTTGTTTTTTGTTATGGCAAATATGTTTAATTTTTTATAATATTATTTTAATAACAAACTTATCCTCCTGAAAAATATAAATAGTTTTTTATTTTCTCTAAAAATTATATATTTTAAATTCGACATTTTGAACAAAACAATAACCAAAAAGTGAAAGATTTATAATAAACTGTTTTTCAAAACTCTGTACTGGGATGACCCAATTTATTGGACTTATTCTTCCTAAACTATTTTTTCTTTGCTTAACCCTCATTTTTCGTTCAAAATATTTACTCGAAAAAAACAAAATAACAAACCAAAATTTTTTTAAATTTTACTTGACAAATAAATCTTCCACCAAAAATTTACTTGAAAAATATAAAAAACAAACATGGGATTAAAATTTTGATTACCATAACACAAATTTTGCCCAAAAAAGAAAACACAACTTTATAATTAAATGTCCATGTTTACAGAATCACCAAGTCGTGTTCTGGATAAAAATGAAAAGTACTAATGAGTAAAACAAGTATTGAGAGAAGATAAATAGGTTAAGACTTTACATTTGAAAAGTTTTATTTTTATTTTTGAACTGTTTATTTTATTTTAGACTGTTATGATGAATGGCCTTGTTCTTTTTAATGTTTGTTGTGTTATGTTATCGATGGCCATTTTTAATTGTTAAAATAAACAAAAACTTAATATTAATTAAAGTGTTGCATTATTTGAAGCAATGGTGTCCTTCATCACATCATTAGTTTATTGTTGTATTGTCGTTTATCTTTTGTTTGTTAGAAAGATGTGGTTTTACTCATGTTTAGTTACCAAATGGATCACCAACCAAATATCGAACCTGGAAATTCGGGAAAGATTTACCCAATATTTGGGTGATTTCCCGATTTTTTGTTCAATAATTGAAACTGTATTGATTTTTAAGGGTTTTAAAATGTGTACCTTTGTTGGTTCAGCAAATAGGAAAATAAAAAATAAAACAGATAAAAAATAGTAAATAATGGGAAATTAGGACAAAGGGTTTATATAAATTTTGGAAACGGTACAGAGTTTTGAAATACAGTTTATTTTTTTGTAACATTTATTATTATACAAAAAACTTCCAATTTTCGATTATTTACTTTATAAAAAATAAGTTGGTAAAGGGAAATGCACTTTGGGGCAAAAAAGCTTGAAAAAAGACTAGGTTTTTAAAATGCAAAAGCTACGGAATATGGTTGTGCGACAATTAAGCAAGTTGGACAATTTTAATTAAAGACCTGCGACATACTTGCACTAAGCGCCATACCTGCACTAGCCCATATAACAATTTAAAAAACAAAAAACATAAAATTTGTTACAAGAAAAAGAGAAAAAACTCATTATTTTTTTAAATAAAATTTCTTAAAGCAATTGAATCTTTGTTTTGACCAATAAAACACATTATAAACTTGTAGAACCATCTTTTTGATTTTTCTTTTTTATAAATCTATTCAAGAAAAATCACAAACAACAAAACATCAAACATATTTTTAAACCAAACATCATTTCATTAGTAATAATGGGCTAATAATTTATTAGAAAAACAATAAAAATGATGAGATGTGTTTTTTCTCAAACACATTTTTTTAAAACACAACAAACATGACATATCATAACTCCAATCCATATGACTGTATTATAATGATACTTAAACGCTAAACATATGTTATAAGTGGTAATATAATGAGAATAAAATTTTTACTTAAAACATAACCCACACCAAAAAATAACAACATGTGTCATTTAAAAAGACACATCTTTTTATAAGAATCTGAAAGTGTTTTTAATCATATTTTAATTATTTTGGCTAAATAAACGGGATTATTCCGAAACTTATCGTGTTGATAAATACAAAACATAATTATTAATTCCAAGACACATAAAAACACTTTAATATATAACCCCGACTGACTACAACTTAAAGATTGGTTTTATACTAAGAATAAATAATATCAATAACTTAATTTATAACACAAAACATGATAAAACATCATTTTGTGCTGATCACTTGATCAACAACAATATATTGAATAGTCACAATGGTTGAGAGAAAATACAAAAATAACAGATAAAATATCATTGCTCATTTATTATAAATATTAATAAATTTATTAAAATAAAATAATAAACAATAGTAAAAATATCAATCAAAAAGTGAACAAGAAACCAGAACATAACAAATAAAAAATAATTGCCATTTTCAACAACACTGAATATAAAAATTGTTCAAGTGAATGAAGAAACTGACTTTTTGATATCAATTAAGAGTGCAGTATATGATGGCTTCAAGTCATTGTAGCTTTAAAAAATACTTGAAAAAACAAAAATGAAACAATTAAAGATTTAACGTTGGTAAGGTCATCTGAAATTAAAATTTATTTGGCATGTTGTATTCAATTTAGACAACATTAGTAAAATGTAAATGACTACTAATTGTGTTTTATTCTATAAAATTTACTTTTTTATTAAAAATATGTTTAATTTTTGTTTGTTTTTGGTTATTGTTGTGTTGTTGTGTGTTTTTGTTTGTTTTATTTTAAAGTCTAATAATTATAAAATATTGTTCATTAAGTTATAATAAAATATATGTTTACTATTAAATAATAAATTAAACCCATAATTTATGTTTCAAATATATAATCAATCTAAAAGTTAAGAACATTTTAATGGTGTAATTGATTTGTTCTTAAGGTGGGTTTGGTTTGAATCGTTTTTCAATAAGTTATAAATTATAATATAAATACAATTCAGAATAAAAAATTTTTAAAATCAATTTGTTTAAATTCTGATTTAATAATAATAGTACA